TTGGAAGTAATTATATATTGTGACAAGTTGTATGCAACAAGTCTTCCCATTCATATATGTCCATATCTCTTTTAAATATGACTTTTGCTGTTCTTCCTATCAAGAAAAGGAATCTTCCTCCCCAATTCTTGAATCTGTGCTGGCCATTTGGTTTACTTTGATGAACAAAATGTGGTGGAAGTGATTATTGTTCCACTCAAGTAACTGCCAATCCAGATCACTGATCTATAGAATTGAGAGCACATAAAATGGCTTTAAGGTGCTAATTCTAGGGTAACTTGTTATGCAGCAGTGGTGTGTTTGTTTTAGAATTCTCTTGTCTTGATGAGAGAATAATTTTAAACTGTAAAAGTCTTAGGTTAACCAATCATTGGGATGTACTTCTAAACTATTAAGGATCAAAAAAGCTCCTCAAAGCTGCAATGTGTCACAATGGTTGCTGCAGTGCATAATGAAAAAAGAGGACAGATGATTTTTCTGGGATGGTTTGTGCTCAGTGTTTTCAGAGGTAGGGCAATATTCTACATGACGGTCAAAGTCTCTTTAAACTCTAAAGCCCTGCGAAATTCCAATAAAATTGTGATTTGAGCAACTCCATTTTCACATCATGAACTTGTACATAGTATTTTTAATGGTTTTATAAAAATTGATGGAACATCAATGTGAGAGAAACATTAGGTTGTGCCCTGATGAAAATTGCACCTTTTAGTGCACTGGGCGATGCTCCAACCAATTGAGCCACCTGGTGAGGGCTGTACATAGCATTTTAGTATCTTCCAACCGGCAGGATCTACTGGCTCATCTTTCTACACAGCGTGATAAAAAACAGCTATGGCATAGAGTAGACAATGGAGTACACAAAATATAGCATAAGGTCAGGGGTTCCAGAGCCATAATACTGGGGTTCAAATGTGTGCTCAGCTGCGTATCAGCTGTAACTTACCTTGATGAATTACTTTGTCTCAGTTTCCCCACTTATAGAATGAAGGGCAAAAAAACCCTTATTGAATTGTTGATAGCATCAATGGGTTAATATTTAAGCTTAAGGCATATTAACATATGTCAAATAGAAGTATTGCTATGTTAAAAGAATAATTTAGATTCTAGACATGGATCTGTTTCAGTGTGACCTTTGGCAAATCACTTAATCTCTCTGGATTTTGGTTTTCTCACCTATAAAGTAAGGCTTACTAGATAATTTCCATCGTTTCTTTTCCTCTTTAAAATTCTATGATTGAACATTTATGTACAATTATGTGCAGGACACTGTACAAATATTATCTTTGTTAATCCTAAATCATTCAAGTCCAGGAACTAGAAACTAATATCTTCATTTTCCGGATGAGGAAGCCACAGTCTAGAAAGAATAAGATCCCATCACCAATGAGAGGAGTATTTAATCCTACATCTATTTGATTCTAGAACCTGAGCATCTAACTGCTATGCGAAACCGCCATGGAAGTGGGCATTATCTTTGGTTGACTTAGTGCTATTTGTGTCTGGCCAACAGTTCTAATTTTTTTTTTCTCTAAATACTGTCCAAAATAAATAATTCCCTAAAAAATAAAATTCTATGATTTATCATTTAACATCTGTTTTACCCACAAGCACATTCCAATCTTATCTAAATTTTCAAAAGTGGTTGAAAACTTATTTTATTAGCAAGCAATTTGGCGAACTCTCTCATCAGAACTACTTAGAAGGTAAAAATAACACTGCATTTACTCAGGAAACAACATTTTTCTTATATATAGCAAATATTAATAAGTCACATATCTGAAGCAATGCCTTTTCAGGTTTATAGAAAGTTAAAATGTACATTAAAATTTTAATTTGTGATAAAAATGCTTATTAAATAAAAGTAGGAAAAGTCCTCCAAAAATGAAGTTCATTTTAAATTTTACCAAAGATATACATTGTCAAATAAGAAATCACTTATAATTCCAGTTACCATATGAAACTTTTTCATTATTATTTTTAAAAAATATATTTTATTGATTTTTTACAGAGAGGAAGAGAGAGGGATAGAGTTAGAAAAACCGATGAGAAACATTGATCAGCTGCCTCCTGCACCCCCACCACTGGGGATGTGCCCGCAACCAAGGTACATGCCCTTGACTGGAATCGAATCTGGGACCTTTCAGTCCACAGGCCGACGCTCTATCCACTGAGCCAAACCCGTTTCGGCTTTCATTATTTTTTGCTTAAGCATATTGCATACAATTAAATATTGTATAAAATGTGATTTTATTGGCTGTATAACAAACATCTCCATATGGACATTTCAAAATTTATTTTACATTAATTTACAAATTGACATTTCGATACATGATAGTTTGATGTGTGATGTTTCTTAAAAATGGAACAGGGGAAAAAAAATCGCCTTGGCCAATGTGGCTGAGTTGGTTGAGTGCCAACCCATGCACTAAAGGGTCATGGGCTGGGTAGGTTCTATTCCTGGTCAGGGCATGCGCAGGCTCAATCCCCCAACAGGGGGCATGCATGAGGCAAACAGTCAATGATTTCTCTCTCATGGATTTCTCTTTCTCTCAAATCAATAAAAACATTTAAAAAAAAACCACGAAAAAAATCAAACATATTATCTATGTGACTGGTTAGCGTGTGTAGAAAGTACAGTATATGGACTTCCTTTTAAAACGTTATATTTTCCTATCCTTTTCCTGTCACCCCACAAACTGCTACAATCCCACCCCCCAAGACGAATGCAAATGCTCCATTCCATATTTTCACGATAAATGTGTCCATGGCTGGGCCTGCTACAAGCTCTCCTTTGGATTGTGACAATGGGCTTCGGTCACTCGTGGACTCTTCCAGAATGCACGCCGGGCCTGTGGGCTCAACTTCGTCTTTTCAGGACCCCGCAAACGGCCAGCTCAGACGTCTAAGTGTAAGGTTCGCAATGGACTTCGAGGGTGGGGCATGAGCGAAGTGAATAGACTTTTTCCGCCTTCAAGACTTCCTGACACGCGTTTCTTGAAGCTTTCCAATCCGGGAGTTGGCATTAGGCGGAGGAAGTGGCTCTCCGGTTCAGGTTTGCTCAATTTGACAGCTCGGGTCTTCCCCGGGATTTTCCAGGCGGGATGCGGGATGCGGGATGCGGTCGCCGAAGAGGGAAGGGGTGCGCACCGCCCACGTGACCCAACCCCACTTTCGGGTTCACGTGCGCGACGCCGGCGTCCGCCCCGACCGCCCAGCTCCGGCCTGTTTTCCTCCCGAGGACCTGAGAGGAACACCCACGTCGTCGGGAGAGGCAGGCACACGACCAAAATGCCTGGCGGGAGGGCAGGTCTACGTTTTCCATTTTCCAAAGGCACCGACCGACCCCCTTTTCGGGGTCAGCACCTCGCACGCCCGGCGCACGCAGGTGCCGGCCCTTCCCGCCGTTTCGGTTCCACTCGAAGGAGGACGGCGACAGCAACAGTTGGGCGGCTGCGCGGGCGGCCCCATCTCCCGGGCGCCCAGGCCTCTCCTCCGCTCCGCTCCGCTCCGCGCGCAGCCCGGGCTCCGGCTCGGACGGCCCCGCGGGGAGGAAGCGCGAGGCGAATGGCCGGTCGCGAGGCCCCCCGGCGGCGACCCGGCCCCCCTCGTCCTCGCCGCGGGTCCCTCCCGGGCCCGGCCGCCTCGCGCCGCCGCCCGGCCGCCGGGGGGCCTCGGGCGGGCGCATGCGCGCGGCGCTCCCGGGCGGGCGTGCCGGCCACACTCCCCCCACCCACTCGGCGAGCTTGTCACTTCCTGCCCTCGCCCCATCTCCGTCCGGGGTCAGTCCGCCGCTCCCCGCCGCCGCCGCCGCCGCCGCCGAGTCTCTGCTTCTCCTTCTGGTCCGCTCCGTGGCGGTAGCGCAGGGCTCTCCGGGGAGGGGAGAGGGGAGGCCGGAGAAAGAGCGAGACCGACTCCGTAAAGTTTCCAGAAACAACTGCTGCGCGGAAAGGCCCGCGGCCGGGGAGACTCGCCGTCCTCCCCGCCCCTCTCCAGAGCCTGCCGGACCGTTGCAGGTGGAGCGGCGTCGGGGAGCCGGCGTCGGCGGCAGCCGTTGCGCCGGGGAGGCGCTGCTCCGGTCTTGGCCGCTCCGGTTCCGGCTGCTCCGGCTCCTTCGGTGGCGGCGGCCGCGGCGGCGGCTGCTGCTGCGGGCGGTTCCTCCTGTCAACTGTCTGCGCCCGCGCGCCGCCCGCCAGCCGCGCAGCGCGGAGGGACGCCGGGAGCCGCCGGGAGCCGCCGCCTCGGGCCGCGGGGGACGCGGTGAGCCGCGGCGCTTCCGCGTCGGCGCCGGCGGGGACTCTGTGGAAGCGCGTCGGGCCCCGGCCCGCGGGGTCCCCTCGCGTGGTCCGCGGAGGCCGCGCCAGGTGGGGCCGGAGCCGCCTCCCACGCCGGGCCGTCCCCGCTGCCGCCGCCCGGCCTGGCTTCCTTCCGCCTGCCCGCCGGCCCGCCCGCCCTCGGAGTTGAGTGTAAGTTGGGCGCACCGGGTTCGTGGGGACGGGAGACCCCCCGAGGCACGTGCGAGGTGGGAGGCCGCGGCGCCGGCGGCGGCGCAGCAGCCCCTCGGCCGCCCCGGCCGCCGCGCCCCCCGCCCGGCCGCTCGCGGGCCCCGGCGCCGGCCGTGCCGCCGCGCCCCGCGCCGGGTCCCCGCGCGCGCGCCCGCCCTCCGGGGCCCGGAGGCCGCCGCCGCCGCCCGCGCAGCCGGCCGGGCCTGCGTCCTGCGTCCTGCGTCCTGCGCTGCGCGCCCCGGGCTGCGTTTCCGGGTAGGCAGGGCGCGGGACCCGGACCCGGGAAGCCTGGGTGCGTTTTGGTCCTTTCGGTTCCTGGAGAAGGGACCGGCCCGCGGAGGGACCGGCCGCGGAGGGGGCGGGCGAAGGGGACGCGGCTGGAAAAGGCCCCCCAGGAAGTTCAGGGTGAGTGACTGGTTCGTGCTTCTTCTTCTCCGCAGCCAAGCCGCAATGAAGAGCTGCTCACAGTGAAAGGAAAGTAGGTCGCGCCCACTGAAAATGCCTTTAAGGGACAAATACTGTCAGACTGACCACCATCACCACGGATGCTGTGAACCAGGTATACACCCCTTTCTTCTCCAGCTGCTCTGTCCTCTGGCAGAGCCGCTGTACCTGCTGCTGCTGCCGCCTTCCAGCTCCTTCTCCTCCGGCCCCTTCTCCTCCTAAGCGAGCAGGCTGTAATTTCCCCAGCATAAAACTAGGTGGGAAGCTAAATGCTTGTGCAAACAAGAGGTCTCCCTTTGCCTGGTCCCTTGAAAAAAGTTCTGCGAGTGTCACCTTAAATCTTTTCCACAAGATCAATCACCCTTTCTTTTTCTCCCAGTTAGTATACCCCATGGCAGCCTCCAGTTAGTGTACCCCCTGCTCTGCAAATGTTTAGAATGGAAGAGAAAGGGGGAGAAAAAATTAGTAACATGCTAGTATTTGTCTTCATGGAAGTTGTTTTATTTAAACTTGAAAAAATTAAGTTTCATAGGCATTTTGATCAGAGACTAGAGGTTTTTGAAAGCCTAAAAATGAGTTTAGTTTGAGCTAGAAAAAGTTTGTTGAACTTAAGTTATTGGGAGAGTCAGGTTTTGCCAAATGCCACCTTTTAAACATTTTCTCGGACAGAGCATGCTGTATTGCAAAATAAAAAAAAATCTGTTGATTTGCGTAGGATGCATAAGTATTTCTAGGATATTTTATTCAGTGGAACTTTCACAAGTTGAATTTATGAAATGAACATTTTGGTTCTTGTAGTCTCGTGGAGGATACATAGAAAACCTTAATTTGGTAAATGTGAGGTTTGTGTAAATATGTTGGTAGTTTTTCAACTTAGAAATTGGACGTGCTTTGTCATAAACAGATACAACTTAAAAGGAATCACTGAATATATACTGCCTCCACACCAAATAAATGCTAATTTATTCTAGTTAAAGGCAGGTATTATTATTTTTGACCTAAAAGTTATTAGGACGCTATGCTTTGGCTTGCTTTTTGCTGGGAATTTTAACTGCCCTAATGTATTCAGTTTCATCACAGTAGAATTTAGAGTACTCTTTTGCTGAATGGGAAAAATTGGCAATGGTAAAGGGGAAGAACTTCCACTTTTAGAAAACTTTGGTATACAGGAGAATATAATTTGTACAATGACCCTATCCCCACTGATTTGCTGAAAATCAGTAATAACTCACCTCTGCTAATAAAACAGTTAATCCCATCCACGATGGGATCCAGTTTCCATTCGCCTGTCTCCTTACCTATGTTAACTTTCAGCACCCTTTCACTCTGCATATTTTGTGTATTATTTGAAGTGAAGATTGTTTTAGCAAGTGTTGAATGGAATTTACTAGTTTTGAAGTAGAAGGCTGTGATGCCTTGTATCCCACTGACTTTTTATTTATTTATTTATTTTTGAAAGTACTTCAAATTAGGTTGAATTAATAAATGAAATAATCTTCTTCAAGAAGAAGTTAATAGATTCATTTTTTTGACAAGTTGTTATTGAGCACCAGCTAGGTGGCTAGACACTTTCCAGGCAATGGGAATAGGCTAGTAAGTGGTGAACAAAACTGATAAGGTCATTCCCTTATAGGACTTTTGAGTGAGAAGAGGTAGACAAATTAAAGATGACCATATCTTATTTAGTGTATTCTGGTGATTTAAGTTTTCTAGAGACTTTAATGTCATCTTAAAGATGCTTTCCAGAGTTGAATTTTTTTTTTTTTTTGTTAACCCTCACCCAAAGATATTGTTTTCTATCTTTTTTAGAAGAGATGAAGGGAGAGGGGAGACACACACACTCACACACACACAAGAGAAAGAAAGAGAGAGAGAGAGAGAGAAACATTGATGTGAGAGAGACACACATTGATTAGCATGAGGCCTGACCTGGCCTGGGATCGAACCTGCAATTCAGGTATGCCCTTGGGCGGGCACACTAACCATTGCACCATGTCAGCCAGGGCTGTAGAGTTGAACTTTTAAATCTGTATTAGAACTTTTATGACTCTTCTCTCCCCCTTCTTCCCCCATTAACAAGAAATCAGACAAGTTGAGTTAATTAAAACATTTCAACTTTCTTTTACCCTAAGCTTTCCATGCAGTTTTTGTTTCAGACTCGCAGGTCAGAAGTAGTTGGTGTTTCTTTGATTTCTTAGTTATAGTAATTAAATACTTTTTGAGCATTTAGTTCAATGGAAAGCTAGAAGTTTGTTAACTTATAGGGTAGTAAATTGACATTATTTCAGAGGAAGGTATGTGTGAGTGGGAGGATGTTTCCAGCACCGAGAGGAATATATTATGATAAAAGTTGCATGATGTTTGAAACATTCTTTAATTGGCTCTTCTGAGAAGTCTGTCCTGGTTTGGATTATGAATAGTGGGTAAGTTCCTTGGATGAGAGCAGTGTGTTTCTGAGGAGGCTTGAATAGGATGGGTCAATTTGTAGTGAAAGGTGGCATTGTAAACCTGTCAGTGTATGTATTTTCTTAGTTATTAAAAAAAAAAAAGAAAAAATATATTTATATTGATTTCAGAGAGGAAGGAAGAAGGAGAGATGGAAATGTTTATGATGAGAGAGAATCGTTGATCAGCTACCTCCTGCTCGTCCCCCCGCTGGGGTTGATCCTGCAATTTGGGCACTGACCGGGTGTTGAACTGTGACCTGGTTCATAGGTTGACGCTCAACCACTGAGTCACACCTACTGGGCAGTTATTATTTTTTTAATTAAAACTTTTTTAAAATCCTCACTTGAGGATATGTTTATTGATTTTAGAGTTGAAAAGAGAAGGATAAGGAAAGAAAGAGAAACATAGATTGGTTGTTTCCTGTATGCACAGGACCAGGGATGGAACCCACACCTGGTTATGTGCCCTGACTGGGCATCGAACTGCCACCTTTTGGTACAGGATTGTACTCCAACCAGCTGAGCCACACTGGCCAGCATGTTTTAAGTTATGTTTTAAGATTTTTTTTTTATCTATAGAAATTTTTAAACATTCAAAAGTACGGAGATGGTATAAGGAACCTGATGTAACCATTGCCCAACTCCCGTCAGTTAACAACTATATGGACAATCTCTTTTCATGTCTATTCTCCCCTCCCCATGATTTCCTCCTACACCGTCCAACTGCTCCATCACCCTCTATTATTTGAAAGCAACTCCCAGACATGATTAGTAGAAGGATCTTTTAAGGGGCTTGTTTTAAGGTAAGAGACAATACTCTACAAAAGTAGGTATCTTTATTCCGAAAGTGTGTTCTTGGAAGGATGTAAAGAAAGATGCTAACTTCTGAGGGTTTGTGTTTTTGGTTGGAGGGAGATGTTGTTTGTTTTGTTTTAGTTAAATGGTTATAGAACCTGATTTTGGGAGGGGATAATAGGATATGTAAAAAATTTAATGAAAATATTAATAAATTTTTTTGTATTAATGAAGAAAGACTAGTTTCTTAAACGGGAACTACACAGATGTGTATACAAGTGGATGTGTCCTTACATAACTAAGCTATTCCTGGGGTTATTTTGAATGGTATCTTAAGAGTATATGAGTTCTGGTGATAGCAGTGTTTGAAAGTGATGGGTAACAAAATTTACTTTAGCTTTGAAGTCAGATGTTGTCACATGGAAATGGAAGTTGATATATTATAGAAAGTTTTCTGGAGCATGTGCCTAGATGAGAGGGGGCTCTAGGGAGAAGTTTCCATTTTTTCCCCTTCATCTCTCCCCTATTCATTGCTGTTTTTTTCATTCTCCCTTTCTAGATTCTTGCCACAGAGCCAGACCTTGAAGCTTGGTTCTTTAAAATTATACAATTTTTACCTTCTCTTTTGTAGTTACTACTATTTTAAAAAAGTTACCAAGTACAAATACTAGAAAGAGATCTATCTACTCCAAATAAATGGTATCACCAGTCTATTTACAAACTTCTGATATTGGTTCTCTAAGGGTTGAATTCTACTTCTCTTAGATTTTGGAAAATATTTCAGTTTTTGGTGTCAGGAAAGCAATTGATTTTGTATATGGTGATGGTGGTGGTGATGGTGGTGGTGGTGGTGGTGGTGGTGGTGATGGGGATAGAACATTTATTGAGCACTAAGTATATCCCAGGCTCTTTTTTAGTCAGTTTACCTCTCTCAGCTAATTTGATTTTCATACAGTCCTATTATTTAGGTACTTTGGCTATCCCAATTTTAGAAATGAGAAAAGAGTGGTCAGAGATCTTCATTTTCCGTGGTTGTATCTAGTAAACGGCAGAAAGAGAATTTCAGCACAGTCCAGGTCTGGTGTCTTAATCAGCGCAGTTAGTGCCAGTGTCAGATGTTCTCAAGAGTTGTATTTGTGGCCCTAGCCAGTTTGGCTCAGTTGATAGAGTGGCAGCCTGTGGACTGAAGGATTCCAGGCAAGGGCACATGCCCAGGTTGCAGGCTCCATCCTCAGTGGGGGTGTGTGTGTGTGTGTGCAGGAGGCAGCCAATCAGTGATTTCTCTCATCATTGTTTCTATCTCTCCCTCTCTCTTCCTTTCTGAAATTAATGAGAAAAAAAAAGTTGTATTTGTTTATGTTCTGAATTAATTTAAAATACCCCCATACTGTCTCTTAAAATTAGGAACATTTTGCTTAATGAAATGGCTTGGTTTTGAAGCATAGTTCCTCCCATTTGTGTACACTGAGCACAAGCCTAAAAGAGAATCTAAGGCTGCAGAGTCTAAATACATAGGACTGCAGGCTTTAGCCCCTTATCAGAGAGCTAAATGCTGTCTAAACACAGGCCTGAAGTAGTAGCAGCACACAGGACTGAAGTAACCATTCTTATCTCCCACACTGAGCAGATGATCCTGGGTGAACATGGTAATTAATAGTTGAATAAAACATTATAACATTAAAAAAAGAGGTAATTAAAGTGGCTGGTTTTCTCCAACATAACTCTCTCTTTATTGGATATATGATAGAAAATTCAGTTTTCCTTTTCATTACCTTGTTTCATATTACCATTATCTAATTTATTGCATATTTATACAGCTAATCTGAGAGTTTTGGAAAGCAGGGATCATCTAAACCTCTTTATATGAAAAAAAAATTTTTTTTTAATGGGAATATTTTTATCTAATATAAAAAATGTATACTTTCTCAAATGCACACATATAAAAGCCCAGGCTCTGAAGTACTAGTGAAGTGTGAGGCAGAAAGTGAAAATTGCCACCTATGCCCTGGCTGGTTTGGCTCAGCTGACGCCTGTAGATTGAAGGGTCCCAGGTTGAATTCTGGTCACATGCTGGGGTTGCTGGCTCGACCAATGATTCTCTCTCATTGATTTTTCTATCTTTCTCCCTCTCCCTCTCCCTTCCTCTCTGATACCAATTAAAAAAACAATTGCCACCTTAACAGAACCTTTAAGTTTTGTTGGTAATTCATCAGATCTTTTGTGATTACATATACAAGTATATGTTAAATTTATTTCTTTGGGTATATGTTGAAATGAATATTAAGCCGAAACCAGTTTGGCTCAGTGGTAGAGCATCGGTCTGCGGACTGAAAGGTCCCAGGTTCGATTTTGGTCAAGGGCATGTACTTGGTTGCAGGCACATCCCTGGTAGGGGGTGTACAAGAGGCAGCTGGTCGATGTTTCTCTCTCATTGACGTTTCTCTACCTTCCTCTTTGTAAGAAATCAATAAAATATATTAAAAAAAAGAAATGAATATTAATATAAATGAGATATTCTATAACCTGTTTTTTATTGCTTAATAATCTATTGATATCCTTTGTTGTCAATATATGTAGATCTAGCTCATGCTTTCTAACAGTAATCAGATTCTGATGTATGGATGTTTATTAATTTACTTAGTCTGGTTCTTTTTGAGACTCTTAAGTTGAAATTTTTCTCAATTATTTACAGTGCTACAGAGTGCTGCAATGAACAGCACTCTGTTCATTGCAATGAACATTCTTTTTTTAAATTTATTTTTTTAAATAATTGTTAAAAGTATTACATATACCCCATTCCCCCCCCAATGACTCCTCTGAACCCCCAACCCCCATGTCCATGAGTTATGCATGGACACTCACTCACTTCCCCTGCATTTCCTCTGAGATTCTGCACTCTGTTCCATGCTTCGGGTCTTTGGATCCACTCCATTTATCAGTTTATTTTATTACTTATATTCCACATATGAGTGTGATCATGTGATACTTATCTTTTTCTGACTGACTTATTTCACTTAGCATGATACTCTCCAGGTCCCTCATACTATCTCAAAGGGTAAGAGATTCTTCTTTTTTACTGCTGCATAGTATTCCATGGTATAAATGTACCACAGTTTTTTTTTTTATCACTCATTGTGCAGTGAACATTCTTGTACATCTGTCATTGTGACCAGTCCTTTCCTTAGGAAGTGGTTATTGAATTTTGCTCTCACAGTTGCCCATAGAGCTGTGCTAGATTATCTGTCCAGAGGGTTTTGGAATGGTTTATGAGGTGTGGTTAGGCCATCATTGCCCTAAAACTTTGGTTAAATATAGTGGTTCCTCTCAAGGACAATAAAAAGGCAAATATGCTAAATATGTATTAAATAATACCAAGATAGGACAATCTTTGCATTTAAGCTTATTATCTAGCTTTAGGTAATCTTATTTTAGCTTTAAATTAAGAATGGCTTTAGTTATTTTCCCCCATTTTCTCTTACAAAGATAATGATGAAATATATACAAGTGTGATTGTCCTTTATATGATTGTAGCAAACCATTGTTTTACTTCAATAGTAAATTATTTAAATAACCCTTTTTTGTGGGGATTGGGGTGGGTGTTTGTCTTTCATGTAGTTTATATCCTGGAACCTGGAGATGCTCCTTTGTTACAGCAACCACTACAGACATCCAAATCTGGTATTCAACAAATAATTGAGTGCTTTCGATCAGGTATGAATGATTTAGGATGTATTTTTTCAGTCTTCACATAGTAGTTAAAAACTACCTAGAAATCTTTAGAAATAGTTTTTTAAGTTAAAATGTATACACTTTTATAATATATATTAATGTATTTTTTTAAGTGGATGAATTAATATGTGACCTAGAGATTCTTTTTTAGTACTATATATTACATATTTATTTAAAAAATAAACTTATTTAGTATGGTTTAAAGGAATATATTATGTTGTATAACTGCTGATAAAAGATTCATTGTTATTTTTTGACATGTTCTTTATAAACTCTCAAAGAGCAGTAGTAATTGGGTTTTTATAAATTTAGAAGAGTGGGTTATTTACTTACAGTGTCTGAGATGTCACTTGTCCTAGATTAATTACTTTATCATCTCTGTGACTCACCTTCTGCGTAATCCTGGAGTTTATAGAGTTTGAATATCTGTAATAGAGCACAAAATGGCTAAAGTAAGTCAGTTATATTTGTTTAGTTTTTTTTTTCTCCCATTAGATTATAATTAGATACATAAGTGTATTGTGTTGTTGTAGTTCAGTGCTTTAAGGATATGATGCTTACTACATATAAATGATTGAAATCTATTTATCAGTAAGATCTCAAATTGCTTTGATTCTTAATAATTCACTTGTTCACCTCAAGTGGATTTGGCCTTCTGACATTGTAGACTGTTGAGTCAAATATGAACAAGCAAACTGTTGGAGACTTGAAGGATTATCTTTTGTTATTTATTTATCATAATGAAATTATTAAGGTAAATATTAATTTACATTATTATTTATCTTAATGAAAATATACTGAGATTCAAAAAGATAATTTTTGTGCAACTACATGTTTTGTATCAATGAGAAATTTTTTGATGTACTTGTTTTTAAAACATTGTTAGGAAAAATGCATATATTTAGTTTATTTTAGGATTTTAAGAAATAAATTGTTTCTTAATCTAAAAAGTTTTTTTCTTTAATGGATATCTTTAAGACCCATTATACTAGTCTTCCTGGTATTGCTTTTATGTATATTTAATTCAGTAAATATTGTGTATATACCATATGTCTGTGCTCAGGTTGGCTGGTGGTATAACCTAGGGTGTTTTTTGTTGTTGTTTTTTACTTTTGATAATTACCCGTGGCTAATAATAATAATTGATAGGCTAAATTCTCCTATGGTAAATACAATTAAAATTGTAGTTATTGCCGAGACCGGTTTGGCTCAGTGGATAGAGCGTTGGCCTGCTGACTGAAAGGTCCTGGGTTCGATTCCGGTCAAGGGCATGTACCTTGGTTGGGCACATCTCGGTGAGGGTGGTGCAAGAGGCAGCTGATTGATGATTCTCTCTCATCAATGTTTCTAACTCTCTATCCGTCTCTCTTCTTCTCTGTAAAAAATCAATAAAATATATTTTTATAAAAAAGTTGTAGTTATTAGGGACTGTATTTAAATATATTTCTGTCATAACAGAATGGTTAGTTTCTGTTTATAGTAAGAGTTTCTGTTAGCTACTATCATGGAAATGAAGGTAGTAGCATTTCACACAGTAATATTCTTTGCTTTTTAAAAATTCATAATATGGAATTAAGGTTGTTTTCTACTACTTCAGTTTTATAGTGTTATTTGATTAAGAAGTTAGAATTGGTTCATTCATAAATGCTTTGTCCTGTAAAATATACCTTTTTAGCAAGATCCTGTACTCAAAAAGTATATATTTTTTAACTTTGAAAGATGAATATATAAAATGAAATTATTTGTTTCCTTGTTGAACTGTGGTCATTTCTGTTTTCTGTATTTGCCATTTCTTTACTATCTAAATCAGTGGTTCCCAATGTGGGGCAGATGCCCCACTGGGGGCAATTTGATTTTTAAGGGGGGCAGTTTGAGAATGAGTTATTAACAGTGAATTTTTTTCATTTCTTATGGTTCTAGGGGCCTCATACACAGTATGTAAATATATATTATGACATATTTATACATTTTAGTTCTCTATTATGTTTTGAAACTTTATTTGCTATTTTTTCATATCACTTCATGTTTTTACTTTTTTTTTTTTATTAACAATTTCTTAGTGATTTCTTCCTCAGTACTTAAACTGTCCTTTCGTTTTATTTTTCTCTTTCATGGGTGCCATGTTCCTTATTATTCAAAAAAGAGTTCACTTTTTGAGTAATAAGAATTATATGTCACAGAGGGGGGACATCAGGATTTTAGAGAAGCTTAGGTCGGGCATGGCCAAGAAAAGGTTGGAAATCACTGGTTTAAGCTAAAGAAAAGTGACTGAAAGTTGTAGTATGTTCCTTTTAAATTATCCCCAGCATCTTGGCTGGTGATGCTCAGTGATTGAGCATCAGTCAACCTATGAAACAGATCACAATTCGCTTGCCATCGGGGCACATGCCCCTCTTGGGGGTTCAATCTCTAGAGTGGGCATGCAGGAGGCAGCCGATCAATGATTTTTCTCTCATCATTGATGTTCTATTTTTCTCTCTCCCTCTCCCTTCCTCTCTGAAATCAATAAAAATATACAAGAAAATAAAATATCCCCAACAGATTTGCCTTCTCAGTTATTTTTTTATTTAGGCAAATTGTGAAAATACTATAATTTTAGTTCTTTACCCAGTAATTTAAATTAGAGGTGATTTAGAAATATGCTGACTGGTATAAGGAAACTAATTATGAATTTAAAAAGGAAGTTCTCAGCCCTAGCTGCTTTGGATCATTGGATAGAGTGTCAGCCTGCAGACTGAAGGGTCCCATGTTTGATTCTGGTCAAGGACACATGCCTGGGTTGGGGGCTCGATAACCAGTTGGGGATGTGCAGGAGGCAGCCAATCAATGGTTCTCTTTCATCATAGATCTTTCTCCCTTCCTCCGAAATAAATAAAAACCATACTGTATTTTTCGGCGTATAAGACGATCCCCTAATTTTATAGTTAAACCATAGGTTTAGGCCTATATGCACTGTATAAGACTACCCCCCACTTCTGAAGCAACACCAGTTCTTTTTTTAATAGACCGCCTCTCTGACTCTGGCCAATCTGAGCAGGCTTTTTACTAGAACACAGTGTGCTTCGGGCACAGAACATGTGTAATTTGCATGCATAAAAAGCCTGCTTGGATTGGCTGAGTCAGAGAGGCGGTCTATTAAAAAAAGAACTGGTGTTGCCTCGGAAGTGGGGGTAGTCTTATACAGCGCATATAGGCCTAAACCTATGTTTTAACTGTAAAATTAGGGGGTCGTCTTATAAGCCCGGTCGTCTTATACGCTGGAAAATACGGTATTAAAAATAAATAAAAGGAAATTTTTACTTTATTAATGTATCTTATAGCTAAGCAATTTTAATTTCTTCAAGATAATCTCATACATATCTGGATAATTAAAGTTTATTGAGGTAGCTCTTCTTCAGCACTGAGGTGTTCAAGCTATTGTCTGACTAAAACCTTGGGAGGTGAAATGGAAGTTTGAAGGGATTGAGATCCCTTCCTACCTGAGATTTGTAAATTCTTCCCAATTCCTCTACTTATAAGCCTGCATTGAGTAACTCATCTCTTTCCAATAAGCTGGGTCACACACATTGCGTTTAAAGAACTATCATGGTTGTGGTACATATCTTGACAGATATTTGAAGGTAAAACTGTGAAGTTCTTGCTTTTGTTCTTGTCAACCCTACAGAGGCTAAGTCAGGTTGGCAGTAGTCAATATTAGGATATCTACCTTTATCTTCAAGCTCAGATAATTGTTTCCAGCTATGGTATCATCTCTATTTAAGTGACTCACCTTCTCCTGCCTACACTGGGCTGTCTGTGACCTGGTATTTATTCCTACCCAAGCTGGAAGTTCATAAAAGGCTGAGGAAGGAGTTGACTCATTTTTTAGGTCCACCCAATCCCAGCTGTACTACTGACTGCTTGACCAATTGTGACCCATTCTCTTTGCCTCACACTTCAGCTTTTGCTTTGGTCTTTTTTCCCCCTGACTTTAAATTACAAATCCTTCTTTACCTTTGACAGCTCTTTATTTCAGTGTGCTTGACTTGTAAATTAATTTGAATAGATTTTTTTTAAAATTGTGCTTGTGGTTTAAAAAAAATAAAGAAGTACAAAACGATATATAAAAATAAGTTTCTCTTTTCTCAGGCAACCACTGCTACATGGTTTGTGTCTTCTTCCAGAGACCTTCTATGCATATATCCCTCATTTTCTTCATGATACAAATGGTAGCCAAGTGTGCATATTATATATCTTTGCTTTATTAATAATACAATCCCACTATTGTTTGACATCTGTCTATAGATATCTCCCTTTCTCTCTCCCCTCCCCCCCTTTTTTTATTTTTAAGAAAACTCTGTTTTGCTGCTTCTGACAGATTTTCTACTCTGACATCCTTGATGGTTGGGTGATTGGAGACATGTCATTTTCTCTGTATCCCTGACTTGTGGTACCACTTCTACTGTATCCTGCCCTTTGCTAGAGCCTTGCCTTGGCTTTTATCCTCTAGGATCACTTCTGTAACTGCTGTATTCAAATTTCCTTCTTTCTATTCACATTTTTATTTTAGCTACCTTCCTTCCTGAGCATTCTCCCTAAACTGAAATAAGTATTTAAATAACAAAAATATTTATACTTTCATGAGACATTTATTAAAATGGACTTTCTTAGTCTTTTAGTCTTATGATAGAAGCAAAGGAGCTATGGATTGTCCTGAGGTTAGAAATAGAAAAATAGGGAAAAAGATAAGGATAATAACTTTGTCCAGTATTTAAAATTGGTTTAATATGAAGTTGACATCTTTCTGAATTCTTAAAATGTGTAATATTGTAAAGAGAGATAATATATATTATTGGAAAAAGAATCTGCCTTATAGAATACAATACTGCTATGTACAAGGAACAGCATCTTTTAAGGAGGAATAAATTGTAGTGAAAATGAGAATTAGCTTTGTATATTTGCTATTGTCATTTTCCTTCTTTGAAGGTCTTTTTTTTTTTTTT